CGGATAGCAGCAGCTCGCCATATTGAAGTCCTCGGGCGACAGCTGACTGTCTGCCGTGTTGAGGCCCGCGGGCGGCAGCTGATTGTCTGCCGTGTTGAGACCCGCGGGCGACAGCTGATTGTCTGCCGTGTTGAAGCCCGCGGGCGGCAGTCAACTGTCTGCCGTGTTGAGGCCGGCGGGCGGCAGCTGACTGTCTGCCGTGTTGAGGCCCGCGGGCGGCAGCTGATTGTCTGCCGTGTTGAAGCCCGCGGGCGACAACTGACTGTCTGCCGTGTTGAAGCCCGCGGGCGGCAGTCAACTGTCTGCCGTGTTGAGGCCCGCGGGCGGCAGCTGACTGTCTGCCGTGTTGAGGCCCGCGGGCGGCAGCTGACTGTCTGCCGTGTTGAAGCCCGCGGGCGGCAGTCAACTGTCTGCCGTGTTGAGGCCCGCAGGCGGCAGCTGACTGTCTGCCGTGTTGAGGCCCGCGGGCGGCAGCTGACTGTCTGCCGTGTTGAAGCCCGCGGGCGGCAGTCAACTGTCTGCTGTGTTGAGGCCCGCGGGTGGCAGCTGACTGCCCGTCGTGTTGGAGCCCGCTCGTGGCAGCTGACGGTCTGCCGTGTTGAAGCCCGCGGGAGGCAGCCAACTGTCTGCTGTGTTGAAGCCCGGGCGCGGCAGCTGACTGTCTGCTGCGTTGAAACCCGCGGACGGCAGCTGACGGGTTTGTTACAGAGCCCGGCGACGGCAGCGTCGCTGGCCGCCAGTCAAAAGCCGCGCCGCGCTGTCAAAAGCCGAGCCGTTGCAGCCTCCTCATTAATCCGGCCATCCCCGGACAGCGCCGCCCCGCCGGTGACGTGTACGTTCTCCGCGCGCCGTAATTGCCCGCGCCCCGAAAGGACGGTGCCGCCCCGCCACATTAGCTGCTTATGGAAATGCCGGGCGGCAAAATTGCTGTGGCGAGCTGCTGAAATCAAATGACGTAGAGCAAAGTGGCTGAATCGACAGGCAGACGACAGCAGCGAGATTGGAATTTCCGATTGTGCGGTGTTGGTGGAAATGTTGTTCGCAGTATAATTTATCAGACAACCGTGCTCAGCAGGGTCGATATGATGCCTGTGTGGGGAGCCTGTTTTCTGTGGCGGTTGAATAATATGCTGTTGGTATGTGCTACGGTGTAGCCCACGAAAAATGAGGTTTGAGTAATTTTAGTAAAGCGTTCTGGTATTTCATCCTAATTTGTTTTTTATGTTGCTTTTTGCCAGAGATCTTGTCTTCACGGTGTGGGGTGTAACCATCTTTGGGGGTCGGGGGTCTAGAACCTACCAACTACCGGCCGTAGCCACCTCTGGAGGTCGGGTGTGTCTAGAACCTACTAATTACGGGCTTAACCAACTCTGAAGGGCGGGGTCTAGAACCTACTAACTCTTGGACAGTTTTGACTGTTTCTGTGTTTTCACCATATGTATTGGTGCTCAACACGGAAATGAGCCGCAGGAGCATTTCTTGCGAAGTTGTGTCCACGTTTCACGCTACAGTAAACCTGGAATGTTTTGAACGTAAGATGGGTTCAATGTGGGAAAAGCACGTAGTGGTACGTTCCACTATGACGATATTTTATTTCATAGTGTTACAAGAAAACAGTGCAAAGTGATAACATTACAATCGTTCTGGCTTTTCTCGTATTCAAGAACGTTTTTGAACTTCCGATCTTTTGCTCCCTAAAAAATGCACAAAACTTGGAGTTCCTTTTTACGGAGGGTAGCGCAGAGGCACATTTAAATACACGCCTGGGGCGGTGCGGGAAGTCGTGAGTTGTTTACTGAAACGATGTCCCGCAAAACTCACAAAACACAACGTCTCGGATGGCTGATTTGGTTTCTTTGGCTTAAGTCCCGAATAAGGAGCACTGTTTTTGTGGCCTCAGCAGCTTTTCGGCCAAGTTTTGGCACAGTTGGCGTGGGCTTCTGTCGATCCATTGTTTCCGCTCCCCTTCTCACACGAACTTTCCCGTGTTATCAAAGTCACTTGTTCCAAAGTAAACAGGTGCGATGGGAGGCCTGCAGGCAATTTGATGCAGCCGTTCTGTTTATTTTATGTCAAAACAGACTTATCAGACAAATGATTTCGAGCGTTTAGAACGGTGAATGACAGTGGATCCTATGGTGCTTCGAGTTTCAAGCGCCTATCGTATATGGTTAATGACTCACTTATGTTAATTAATATCAAAGGCCATTATGCGCAATGCGTGACTTCAATAATTACCTTCGGTAGTAGACCCCGCGCCAAAATGGCGCGTCTGTATGTCACGTTAAGTGTTTTCTACGATGTCAGTTACCGGCCACCAGGTCAACAGTACGGTCGTGGTGCAGTACGGTCGTCATGCAGTATGGTCGTGCTGCAGAATGGTTGTGATGCGGTACGGGTCGTCATGCAGTACGGCCGTGCTGCAACATGGTCGTGAGGCAGTGTGTTCGTGCTTTAGTACGGTCGTGCTGTAACACGGTTGTGATGCAGTACGGTCGTGATGCAGTATGGTCGTGCTGCAGTACGGTCGTGCTGCAGCACGGTCGTGCTGTAACACGGTTGTGATGCAGTACGGTCGTGCTGTAACACGGTTGTGATGCAGTACGGTCGTGCTGTAACACGGTTGTGATGCAGCACGGTCGTGCTGTAACACGGTTGTGCTGTAACACGGTTGTGCTGCAGCACGGTCGTACTGTAACACGGTTGTGATGCAGCACGGTCGTGCTGTAACACGGTTGTGCTGCAGTACGGTCGTGCTGTAACACGGTTGTGATGCAGCACGGTCGTGCTGTAACACGGTTGTGATGCAGCACGGTCGTGCTGTAACACGGTTGTGATGCAGTACGGTCGTGCTGTGACACGGTTGTGCTGCAGCACGGTCGTGCTGTAACACGGTTGTGCTGCAGTACGGTCGTGCTGTAACACGGTTGTGATGCAGCACGGTTGTGCTGTAACACGGTCGTGATGCAGCACGGTCGTGCTGTAACACGGTTGTGATGCAGTACGGTCGTGCTGTAACACGGTTGTGCTGCAGCACGGTCGTGCTGTAACACGGTTGTGATGCAGTACGGTCGTGCTGTAACACGGTTGTGCTGCAGCACGGTCGTGCTGTAACACGGTTGTGATGCAGTCCGCTCGTGTTGCAGGTGCGCCTGACCGGGCTCACGGGCAAAGTCGAGTTCGACCGCGAGGGGTTCCGCACCGACTTTGACTTGGACATTGTGGAGCTGTCAAAGGACGGCCTGGTCAAGGTCGGTACTTGGACGGCACGTACTGGCGCCAACTATACCCGCAGCTACGGCGAGAAGATCTTGGAGATCGAGCACAGCCTCTGGAACAAGACTCTCAAAGTCTTCATGACGTTGGTGAGATGCCGCTCTGGCGACGAAGTGTGATAAGGAATGCTGTTCTTTTCCACTGTGGAATGGGACATTAAATCAGCTGGGATGATTTTCTCTGAATACTACGATAGAATCACTCCCGCACTTTCCTCTTTTTTGACAAGCTTACGGATCGCCTTCAGATTAGGGAACAATATACATAATGAAGCAAGCTTAATCACGCAGCGTAAAATAACAACAGCCCCGCTGTTACGGTGCGCTTTGTTTTAATACACCTATGCTCGGATCCGAATCGACTCGAATGGTTGCTTTGAATCCGAAGTCCTTAACCTTACTGAAAGGCCATTTCGGTGGCCATTGAAATACATTATTTTTTTATATTTATTTGTTCGTTTCGAAATGTTTACGAGCCCTCGGAGTAGGAAGATTTGTGTTTCTCAGCTGAATGCCGAGCGAACTGCAGATATGTAACTTCAACGAACGCTGAGATGTCAGACGCTCGTTTTGTAACTGCGCCAAGCTACATGAAAACTGTAGAGGCAAGAGTTGTTATTGACCAAATTGATATCACTGATGCGTGTCAGATTGGTATTTCTCGCACCTTACAGTAAACCCTATGTGTTTTACAACGCTTACATCGGACGCCATGCACCGGAATACCCTCGCCCACTTAAAAGAAACAGGGCAGCGACCTGCCTAAGGTTAAAATCAAAGATTTAAAAAATCCCAGCGGGTCTGATTCTGTCCAAGACGAAAACCCGCTGAGCGCGGCGTCGCCCACCGCCCGCAGAGCGAGCCATACATCATTGATGGTCAACGAGTCGGACACGTCGCTGAATGGCAACAGCCGGTTGAGGGCTTCTGCATAGACCTGGTGAACGAGATCGTCCAGGCCTGCGCAACTTCAGCGTCGAGTTCGACCTGGTGGAGGGTGGCGCGTACGGTGGCAATAGACCCAGTCACCGGCCAGGCCACCGGCATGGTCAAGGCGCTGCTAGGACCAGGTCAGTGAGGCGCCGCAGGCCGCCGGAAAAGAAGCCGACTCTGGCTTCGGGGAGGCTGCGGAGTATCGTTTGCGAGTGGTTGGGGGGGGGGGGGGGGCATGTTGCGTCATAACTCGATCGCGTATTTTGTGTTCTTGTGACATCATAATGATTCACAAAGGATGCCCGGTAGGACTGAGAAATCGTGGAAAGTGTCGTAACGGGTGCAACTGTATCACAGGGTGTAAATGCAATCTCCGTGATTGGTGCCTGCTTAAATGGTTACAAGCTATTTAGTTTCAAACAGGTCGCGAGAATCCATTGTTTTGGTTTGATTTCTAACTTCTTTTGTATTATGCGTGCAAGCGCCTCTTACGATAGCTTCTTCGCTTCCTCTAGATTGCGTTTTTTAACTGGTCCAACAGTAAAAAGGCATCCAGATTGTGCATCCCCCCCCCCACCCATTCTGCCCATGAAATAAATCGTTGCAACCGAAAGGGAAAGTGAGACGAACATGGCCAATTTTAATGCTCGTTGAATGCCATGTCCACGATTTATGCGATTCACTTGTCAGCAACCTACCACCGAAGTATTGTCGCATTATCAACGTGATATATTCATGGTGCTTCAGGACTATTCAAAATGTAGGGAGGGGGTGTACGCAAGATTTACAATGGGGGGGGGGGGCACAACCCAACAGTTCTCGTAAAAAACTGCATCCCGCTGGGGGCGCGTGCAGTGCATGTTCTCGATCGCGTTAGATTTACATCATAATCATCATAGATATACATCGAATTTATAATCAACATCTATTTACTCCAAGCGGTGCTTCTTGTGAGAACAACGACTTCATAATTTCAACTCCAGCTTCAGCTTAAACACTGTTATGTCATGTTTTAAAAAAATGGTGAGGGAAGAGGATGCGTGCATGTGGGGCTACGGCGTGAAGACGTCCCCGAGTGCAAGTAGCTTAAGCGACTGCTCAAGGAATAACTTATGGCTGAGTGCCAGTAAGTACATCATGCGTTTTAAGTATTCAAAGCCGTTCGTTTGCCATTGTTAGCTATCGAGTAAGCCGTGTTTGCTTATCCAACTACTTATGCTCGCTTGAAATGAATCTCACACTGTGTGTGCTTGAATCTGAGTGCAACGTTAAGACTCCACATGCTGATAAGCATGGTCTGGTGCTGCTATGCCGGTAGTGATGCCAGTCGAATGACATTTGCCAGTAACGCAGTTACAAAACTTAGTCTCGGTGAGTCTTTCTTGTTTTTTGCCAATATTTTCATGGTAATGGTTGTTGAGTTAAGCTTAATTTTAACTGCGATATAATGACGATGTTCGTAAGGAATGGCATATAATCGAATCCAAAAACGAATACCAAAGCAAAGCGGTTGAAGGCTTGCAAAGTAAACCTGAACAAGATTATAGCAGAAAATAGATTTAATTATTTAGGCCACTTCGTAGAATCTACTGTTGATGTCACAAGTCAGCCAACTCAAATGAAGTTAAGAAAAAACGAAAATTAAATGTTATCAAAACTATGCTTTAAAGATGATGATTTTCACAAACTTTGATACATGAGATTTTATTGAGCCTTAAAGCAAATTATTTAGCGACAAGATGCAGACCTAAAAACTGCCACTAGACTAATCACCAAACGGTATAATTTTTTAAAAATGAAGAAGACCAATTGTGTCTTGATTATGTGCAATTGACAACCTTTAAAGTACCGTTGGGACCGGATCTGTGCTAAATCGAATGACGATTTCACGAATACATTGAAGTGACCAAAGCGGTCCCCAATATGCGCTATATATATACATCCCTCCGAAAGAAAACATAAAACATACAAAATCATGGGCCGGCCTGGAGCCCACCTGTGCTGCGCAGGGCGGCCGGGGCCCACCTGTGCAGCGCGGGGCGGCCGGGGCCCACCTGTACAGCGCAGGGCGGCCGGGGCCCACCTGTGCAGCGCAGGGTGGTCGGGGCCCACCTGTACAGCGCAGGGCGGCCGGGGCCCATTGGGCGTTTACGGATCGAACATGCAGCGCCAACTTAAGCCAAAGAAGACGCAAGCATTTGTGCGGCTTCGAACTGTATCGGCCCATACGGAAAGATTCGCAGCGAAAAAGTCAAGGGCGTGGCTCCCACCGATGAGAAGGCGTTTGAGGTGCGACTGAGCGTTCAGAGCATTTTGGAGGTCGCTGCCGGGGTGGGGAAGCTCCGCACTGCCGGCTTCATTCCCCAGTAGGACGGCGCACACACTTCATTCCCCAGTAGGACGGCGCACGCAGCTCAAGTGTGTCCCGCATCGGCGGAACACACTTGAGAGCTGCTCGCTGGTCGCACCCGCCTCGTCAAAGCGTCTCGTTAAAAAGGACGAGCGAACACCAAACCATCCTGAGCTGAGCCCGCTGGACTACTGCGTCTGGAATATGCTGTCGGAGGAGGCTTGCCAGTCTGGAGGCTGTAGGGGGCAATCCTGGCCATGTGAGAATGCAATGCAGATATGAGATCGTGGTGTCATTGGACACCTAAGGAGCAGTGTTATTCAGTGAAAGCTAAAGCTGATCGCTGTAGTTCAGGCTGGTAGTGATTATAATGCTCATCCGTTTCAATAAAGGGCTGGCAAAACAACTGTTTTCCGTGTGAATATTTCCGAGTTGATAATGCGGGTAAAAAAAAAGATTACGCTGTACTTTTTATTCTTATAAGTGTTTTACCCTCGAATCGTATGTGGCAAAGTACGGAACGTATCTATAAGTTACTCTCCTGTGCACTGATGACCAGCTGATGCGGTTGACGCACGATTCACGTGACCTTGACGTGATTTCTGCATGACTTTAGGTGACTGCCTTTCTAGTGCTCCACTGGCCGGTGTCCGGTCCTGTTCCTCCTGCAGCTCCGCGGTCCGTCCAGCTGCCATACCGGCCGGTGTCCGATCCTGTTCCTCCCGCAGCTCCGCCGTCCGTCCAGCTGCCATTAGCCCCTCATCCGATTCTCGGGCCAAATTTCGGCCAATTTGCGCCGGCCGCCACCGCCGCCGCCGCCGCTCGCCCGTAATTGGCCCGTATTACGTACCCGTGGCGAGCATGGCAGGAGAGGAGATGACGAAGAGTAGGGGAGGAGGGGGAGGCGAGGATGGGCGAAGCCAGGCGTTCAGACTGCAGAGT